CTCACTGCAAGCTCCGCCTCCCAGGTTTTTACGCCATTCTCCTGCCTCAGCCTCCCGAGTAGCCGGGACTACAGGCGCCCGCCACCTCGCCCGGCTAGTTTTTTGTATTTTTTAGTAGAGACGGGGTTTCACCGTGTTAGCCAGGATGGTCTCGAACTCCTGACCTCGTGATCCGCCCATCTCGGCCTTCCAAAGTGCTGGGATTACAGGCTTGAGCCACCGCGCCCGGCCAAATATAAAATTCTTAAATAGGCAACTACAGTTTTGAGCTATAGTGATGTTATAGAATAATTAGGTGGATCACTTGGAGTGGGGAGAAAGATACATAAAGTTTTCTCATAGGTGATGGTTTCTAAGATATGACTTGAAAGACTAGTTAGCCAATTGAGGAAAGATGAAGGATGCTCCAGGAAAAGAGAATTGCATGTGTAAAAGGCTGGAGGGAAGTGAAAAGTTGTAGCTATAAAACAAATTGGGTATAATTGAACTATCATGTGTAAGATGAAGAGTAGATTTTTCAGACTGGTTAAAAGGCCTGCATTACATCCTGAGGACAATAGAAAACTTGTAAAAGATTTCAAGGAAGATTTTAGAGCTTCTTTTATATCCTGTTAATTCTAAAATTGGCCAAGCCTTCATAAAAATCAAATACTCGGTGATTTCACCTTCATCCTTGGAAACTTGAAAGTACTAATAAAGTTAACTAGAAGAATAAGCTCTTTTCTCTCCCATTCTCTAAAGAGGGGCATCTACTTATTTATACTGAATAAGTTAAAACTGAAAAGTGGAAACATAATGTAATGTGAATTTCTCTTGGAGTTGTACTAGTGTTTGTGTTACTCAAAATCTAAAGTATGATTTGAGAATAAAACATTTGCTAAAATATCTCGAATCTGGCCTTCTGATCTTCTTAAATCAGGTACTTATCCCTGTACCCTGGATCATTGCAATAGCCTTCCAGCAGCTTCTCCCTGTGTCCACATCAGCTAAGCATTCTCCATCCCATGTTGTGGCCCCTGATTGATTTATTTGCCTATATGCTGGTTTTCTTCATTACCCTGTGGACAATAGGAAGTGAATTAAATCTCCTTTTCCACCTTTTGCATTAGATAAGAGGCTTATATATTCACTATTTAATATGAATTATTTTCAGACTTAAGAACAACTAACATTGAGCTGCTGGAGTTAATTTAATCCCCAAAATTACCAAGAAGGATGACCCAGTTGTATTTTTTCTTCATGTCCCAGCTCTGAGAGCTGGAGTCCACAAAAGTCTTTAATGCTTGCCAGGATTTCCCTCCTACTTCTTTTCTGCCTCTCCTGTACAAAAGATCTAAGAAGAAAACATCCAGAATAAGATTCTTTATGACTCAAGGTGTTGTCAGATAGAAAATACCCCCCTGGGCAGGGCGACACCAAAATACCTAGGTGGAAATGAAAGTCAAACCTCCTTCTTTGTTCTCAGAGCCTATGAATTGAGGCTCTGGTCATATATATTTCTGAACCTTGAGAAAGTCTTTGATTCATCACTGCCTCAGTTCTCAAGTGGAGAATTTTGCAACATGCTCTTAATTTCTATGGTAGTTGCCAGCATTTCAATTTCTCATTTTTATAAAATTGCACGTAACTTTAGCATGAGAAAAATTTAAAGCTTATTTTTAAATTTAGAAAGTAGAAGCTATCCAGCTATTTTTTTTTTTTTCTTTTTAACTTGGCTAGCAGAAAGTTTCATATTACATTGTGAAGTTCCATTGCAGTTTTACATCTTTAAATGAAAGTTGAAATGTAATTAAATAGAAACTGGGAGACATGAAAAGTGAAGGTAATTTGAGTTTATATGCTTACTCTCCATAACTAGTTAAAAATAAGAAATTATTTAATTGGTATTTATGTTAAAGAAGGACTTAGTTAACTTCTGGCTCCTCCTGTCTCTAAATGTGGCAAATATTTTGTGTTTATTTTGGTCTTCTCATCTGCTAAAAATAGGAGTTTTTGATCTATAAGGTTTCTGTTTTCTCAAATTGTGGCTTGTCAGCCTGGTCATTTGATAATTTAATAAATTGACAAATTGGCAAGGCCAATGTATCTTACCCTATTTCATTTATTTATCTTATGACCTTACTGGTGGCCTATTTAATGAGTTTTTTTCTGGGTGATATAAGGGCAATTTTATTATTTTTTCTCTTTTATTTTTTCTTTATAATAATTGACATTGAATGCTGATCAACACAGTACAGCCAAAGACAGCAAAAGGATCTTTGTGACTTTCTGAGAGAGAAGCAACTAAATTCTAATACCTTATAATACCTTCTAATTTGAGACTCAAATTTATTGAAACCTGTCAAAGTTTCTGCTAGCAATAGACAAAACAAGATACCCAGAAAATAAAATGTCGATTGAGATAGAGAGAAATGGCACCATTTGACTTAAGTGGAAGATCACTACCACTTATATAACTTTTGTCACAACTGGCATTGATAATATTCTTTAGTAGCTGTCATTGGGTTCTGTAGATAATCTATTAATCAGATATCAGTAATAAACATTTCACAGTAAAGTGGCCAGTTCCTCAGTTAAGTGATGGGTTTTTTCAGCCTCATGGTAATGTGCTTGGGTTCTGACTTCAGAACTAGAATAGAGTCAGCTTGGCTGACTACTTCAATAAGACTAATAATGTTGATAAACTTTAGTGAAAATGACTTTTTATAATACAGATTAAGAAAATAACATTTTAGATTCTCATGTGCCCGAATGACTCTTATTGAGAGATAACTAGTTTATGGACATTTTCTAAAACTATCTATGCCAATGGCACCCAATTTGTTTGCTAAGATCCAGCAGGGAGCTGACTGGAAGTGATAGGTGAGTGTGAATACACAAAAACATTATCCGTAGAGTAAATGAATAAAAACTTGTGTCTATCTATCTACCTACTTACATACCTGGCATATCTATATGCACACACATGTGTATTTATGTTCACATGTAGATTATTTTTCTGGTCATTCTGTAGTTCCTTAAACTTTTTAGATCCTACAATTACAATTACTTTTCTATGGAAGAACCATGACATTTTGTGTAAACGTGGTCTTTTTTTTTTTTTTTCCTTGTCTTCAACTTGTATTTTAAGTTCCAGAGTACATGTGCAGGAGGTGCAGTTTTATTACATAGGTAAACATGTGCTATGGTGGTTTGCTGCACAAATCAACACATCATCCAGGTATTAAGCCTAGCATCCATTAGCTATTCTTCCTGATACTGTCACTCCCTCCAGCCTCCAAGAGGCCTCGGTGTGTGTTGTTCCCCGACATGTGTCCATGTGTTCTCATCATTCAGTTCCCACTTATAAGGGAGAATATGCAGTTGGGTTTTCTGTTTCTGTATTAGTTTGCTGAGGATAAGTCTTCCACCTCCATTCATGTCACTGCAAAGAACATGATCTCATTCTTTTTTATAGCTGCATAGTATTCCATGGTGTGTATGTACCACATTTTCTTTATCCAGTCTATCACTGATGGTCATTTGGATTGATTCCATGTGTTTGCCATTGTAAATAGTGCTTCAATGAGCATACGTGTGCATGTGTCTTTATAATAGAATGATTTATATTCCTTTGGGTATATACCCAGTAGTGAGATTGCTGGGTCAAATGGTGTTTCTTTTTCTAGATCTTTGAGGAATCGGCACACTGTCTTCCACAAAGGTCGAACTCACACTCCCACCAACAGTGTAAAAGTGTTCCTTTTTCTCTGCAATCTCACCGGCATCCGTTGTTTCTTGACTGTAAAAGTTTTCTTTATTCTAAAAGATTTAGAAATTAATGCTGTAGGCTACAGGGTAAGTTTTTGCTTCTATGGATTATAAACTCAGTTAAAAAATTGGTTTGAAAGCTAATTATACAAGCTTGAGGAGTTATATCCTTTCTATTTTCTTATAAAATTCTCAGTTGCTATAATTAATCTGGAAAGTTTTGTGTGTAATAAAAAGTGATAAAAGAGAAAAGGAATGAAACTGTAAGCATCTATTACTTGACCGTCAGATCAATCTAATTAGAAGTTTGTCTCAGCAGTTTATTAACCTGTGCTAGATGTCAAATGTGGACATTTAGGCAATCAAACCACCCCTGGTTGCCTATTTCCCGTTTCTTAAGTCTGTTCTTTAGTTTCACATGCAATAAACATTTACACAGTGTTTGCTCTCAAAACTAGAACTCTGGAAATTTGGTTCCAGGATCTGTGTCCTGAAGTTATCTTACATGTTTCATGGACATTGCATTACCTCATAGACATTTTGTGATCATCAAAAACATTTCTGTATCTCAAAGTGTTTTGAAGCTTTACGTTAGTCTTAGTTATAAAGATGATATTACTATCAGTAAAGTTCCTAATGATTTCTGTGATTTAATTATTTTTGTACTAATCATACTGAATTCTGCATTTCCTATTCAGTAGACACTAGTTATGAGACATCTCCATTTTTCATCAAACCTCTACAGTTTCCTGTTTCAATTGCAATACACGTATACCTTACTTTCATCTATGGCCTATGTTTTAAAATTTCTTGTTCAAGAGAACAAATACAAAAAAAACAAAAAAACAAAAAAAACCATGAAGGACAACTGATGCTATGGCTTCCTGCTTGCAGTGAATCGGATCTCTTGATCCATGACCTGATGAAAGTACTATTTGTTCCTTCTCTTTGAACTCTCTAAACTCCTATTAGTTTGGATACCTTTGATTTGAGGACTCTTGATAATAATTATGTGTGCCATTTAGCCTTCTTTGTGTCATTTAGCTTTTTTTCTGCTAATTAGTAGAAAATTGTTATTCAAAATGATGAAATGTTTCCACAGAGCTGCTTTATATACTGTATGTCTCCCACTACTCTCTGACCCCTAGGAGAAAACGTAGCTCCTCAAATGATGCTATATAACGAAGAAAACATCACAGACTGGAGAGTGGTTGGTAATTTAGTTTTATTTATTACTAATCCTTGTACTCACTGTGCTTTACTTTTCAGGGATGCTGATTTTTATTTCAAACTTCTACATATAACAGTTGGCATTTAGTTTTGTGCAGAAATCAATTGGTTTTGCAAAATCACGGCACTCATGTCTACATTTGCCTCTAATGATAAAGCAACCATAGGTGTCTTTCATGGCACATTTCACTGTTAAAAGGGAAAAAAAAGCACATAAACCATTGAGTCATTATAAGTGCCTTAAGGTCCTACCTTGGGATAAATCAGTTGTCGATGTGAAAAGAAGTATAGCACTTGCATTCTGCGGTAGGGATTTGGGAAGTCATTTGTTTTGCTATTTTTCTGGTGACGATTGTTTTGTGACACTTTTTGTTTCATTCTCAGTTTCCTCTCCAACTTCTGGCTTGATCCACTAGCTGTTAAAGCTTAGTTTTCCCTGAGAATTTCTAAATAAAAATTGTTAGGTTCCAAGTAGTTCTGGAATGAACACCACATATTTCTATGGCTATTTACCTACTACCCACCTAACATGATTTTTTAAAATAACAACTTTATTGAGGTATAGTTGCTATAAAAGGAACTGCACATATTTAATGTGTACATATTGATGAATTTGGGCATATACAAATATCTATGATCTTATCACCTCTCAAAGGCTTTTTTCTCCAATTTAAAAAAAATTAATCATTTAAACATTTTTAGTTTTAGGATTTAAAATGGGAAGATTCGTTAACGTTGCTTAAATTGCTATCTTGCTTGAATATTTTGTATAAATCTCTTTTTTTTTTTTTTTTTTTTTTTTTTTTTTTTTTTTAGTGCGTTTGGCCCAGTGCTATCTTTGGCAGAGTCATTTGTGCCGATCTGGAGGCGGAGTCACCAAGCTCTGCCTCTGTCGCCGGGCTGGGAGGTACGGTGGCCGGATCTCAGCTCACTGCAAGCTCCGCCTCCCGGGTTCACTTGTTCTCCTGTCTCAGCTCCTTTTTTTTTTTTTTTTTTTTTTGAGACGGAGTCTCGCTCTGTCGCCCGGGCTGGGGTACAGTGGCCGGATCTCAGCTCACTGCAAGCTCCGCCTCCCGGGTTCACGCCATTCTCCTGTCTCAGCCTCCCGAGTAGCTGGGACTACAGGCGCCCGCCACCTCGCCCGGCTAGTTTTTTTTTTTTTTTGTATTTTTTAGTAGAGACGGGGTTTCACCGTGTTAGCCAGGATGGTCTCGATCTCCTGACCTCGTGATCCGCCCGTCTCGGCCTCCCAAAGTGCTGGGATTACAGGCTTGAGCCACCGCGCCCGGCTTGTATAAATCTCTTTTATTAGAAGAGTGGAAAAAACCTAGCAGATACTGGGATAAGAGAGGTTCTTTGAATAGTCACAAAGATTTGAGCCTAGGCAGGAAACTGGTTTGCTGGGGGGATGAGTGTTGTTATGAATGACAAGCCTTAAGTTCAAAGAGAAAGAAGTAACATCTCTTAGTATCTCCTTATGTTTCTTTGCTTCAGAGTCTTCTCCTTTATAAAGCCCTCAGTATTGCATCATCATAGCATATACCAACTGATGAACTAATCCACATCTGGCCATAAGACTTAATGTTTCATCTCTACAAGAAATGTTTAAATTTTTAGAAAGGTCACATAAGGAGGAAGATGCCCAAAGTAATAGCATTAAATGTAATGGTAAATTATCAAATATCAGTGATGAAGGTATGTGAACAGCGCTCTTTCCCTAGGTTCTCAACATATAGGATCCAACTGAGATGGAGTCAAAGGTACTGATAATCCAGTTCATGCCATCTGCTTTCAGTGAAGTTATATTAGCATACAGTCTTACTATTATTTGAGTAACTAGACATTTTAGGAAAAAATTGAACATATGATTTTGAATTTTTTGCCAAATATTTTAGGTAATGAGATATGCTTTTTCACTATTTAAATTAATGATAGATATCTCCTTATTTGTATTATCTAGAGAGATGCTATTTATTGCCTTTGATGCCAGAGGGAAAAAGCATTATCTTGCCAAGTTAAAAATGCATCCTCAGATTACACTGTCCTACATGAGGGGTGTGAAGCATGTATGTTGACTTAATTGGAATTTACAAATAATAGAAGATGACAGCTGTCAAGTACTAGTATTAAAAAAAGAATAGCATTATTTAAGTGGAAATTGTAAATTAGCATTTTTCCACTAGTGACAAAACAACAAATAGCTTCTCTCTAGATAATAGCTATGTACAACATAAAAATGTATATTTATGCACAAGAAGGAATCACAGATTTTTCAATTTTTAGATGAATCTATGCACATACATTCACATTGTCTCTTGGGTTTATAATGAAACTGAAAATGTCATGAAAATTTTCACCTTTTTTCCCAAAGCAAGTGACATGAGGCACACATGTAAATCATGATAACATAACTGGAGCTAATTTTATTATCCAAATGTGGTTGCACTAAATAACAGTCTTCTTTATTTTAAGATCACCCCTGTATGGTTTTAGTAAAACAAACCCTGATTGTAATTCCATTAGTCTTGAGTTTAGAATGATGTAATAAAATAACAACCCTCATAATTATCATCTGACATATTTTATTTGAATTATGAAGCAATTCAAATGATTTGTGTCTTTTATCCAAAATACTTAGATGTTTGAGTTTACTCAGAGTCAGACTTATTGTTAGAGCTAGATTTCTTTGGTCTCATCTGTGCTGCTAAGGAATGAAGTTGGACTTCAAAGAGGAAACTATTGCAGTTCTAGACCACTCATAAATCAGAACGCCCTAGAGTTATGATTTTTTTGTTTTATTTTCTTAAAGTGAGTGGAATTATTTTCCTGGGTGTGTGTAAAATGATTGTTTACAGGGTCTTTACACACATAAGAAAAATACTTTTCCTATCTCAAGTACCCTGAAATGTGTTAAAACAGCTCTTTCAATGATCTCCATCAAGATACTTTCCTTGGCTATTGATTCAATCTCATAGTAGAGTAGTGTGTACAATGAAAGTTTACAAATGAGGGTACACAGTTTAAGTATGTGAAATCCAACATGGTAAATATTATCTCCCCTGTTTACTGCAATGGTTGTCAAGAAAGAGTTTCTCGATGAGATTTCTAGAAGTTACTTGCTTTTTAAGGTGTTTTAGTACAATGTAAAAGTAATTATAATACTATTTAAGAAGAATCTGATAGGTATTATACTTTATGTTAGACACTTTGTGTATTTAAATGTCATTAATCTTCATAATGCTACAAGGTAGACTTAATTACTATATTTACTTCACAAATGAGGAAATTGATGTTGAATGAGTTTAAATAACCTGATAGATTTATATAGCCAATCCAATACACAGCAAAAGCCAAATCTGAACCCAGGTATCAATAATTCCAAAGTTTATACTCATTTAATTATCTGGTTAGTATTAATTGTTATGTAATTGGACCTGAGGTAATACAGCCACTAAAGTTCTCAATTCTTCAGTAAAACACCATTTTGTGTTTTTCTCAAAGTAAACCTTGTGACATAATATAACCAAACCCATCATTAGGTTACTGAAAACCAACTGTTACTCTACTGCACAGTGCCCATCATATCTCAAGGATCCAGATGGTTGTACTTTAATATTCTATCTAAGTAGTCAGTCTGGACAACCAGCCTGTAGTCATTTAATCAAGGCTTTTAAATTGTCTCCTACAATAATATGACTCACCAGGAGCTTTATTTACTAAGATCACAGTCTTTTATTTGTGATTTACCTTTGGGACGATAACCAACCATTTTCTTAACAATCTGGTCACTCTTTTGTCTCCAGTTGACATTGACCAAGATGCAACTCTCCAGAAAGATGTTTTACCCTCTCAATTAGTATTTACATTTTACCGTGTGGCAATGGGGCCAGAAAGAAAAATGAAACAAAGACAAAGACAGGAATCTTCATGATTGAAGACAGCCGAATCAGCAGCTCTGCAATGTTTGAATAAGAGAAAAGTGGAGAGTGTATCTTTTTATACTTCTCTCCATGCAGTTGTATGAATTTAGTCACTGGGGTTTATCAAAAATTAACACTCCTCTTTAGCAGTGTCTGGGGCATAAGTGCTGGACATTCCTTTTCTTTTATCTTGGGATAAAAAGGGATATGATATGCACAGCATATAACTATCTTTCCAATAACTAGTTGTCAAGGAAATGCATGCCACTGAGAATCTCCTATTGGAGGTCTGAAGAGTAGAAGCATGAGAATTTAATCTTTGCTTTTACTTCAGTTTTTCTTTTTAATATAGTTATGCATAATGCATAAAATAGTGAATTTAAAAAGCAATATACTCATGCCCATAATCCCAGCACTCTGGGAGGCTGAGATGGGCAGATCACAAGGTCAGGAGATCGATACCATCTTAGCTAACACGGTGAAACCCCGTCTCTACTAAAAAATACAAAAAAATTAGCCGGGCGGGGTGACGGGCGCCTGTAGTCCCAGCTACTCGGGAGACTGAGGCAGGAGAATGGCAAGAACCCGGGAGGCGGAGCTTGCAGTGAGCTGAGACTGCACCACTACACTCCAGTCTGGGTGTCAGGGCGAGACTCTGACTCAAAAAAAAAAAAAAAAGAAGTAATATAAATTCTTGTCTCCTAATTTGTGACTTTAGTTACTAGAACATATTTCTCCCCCGATCTGTTGTTATTGCGAAAACCTCCCTCATCATTACTGAAATAAATAATTCTTTGTTGTCTCTTACATGCAATGTAGATATTAGGGACACTGAGGTATAAGATAATTTCACAATAAGCACACAAACACACATTCACACACATATACAGGCAGATAAAAATTCTATGTTTCCAATATGCTAAATGATGATACACGCAATAAGTAGTAAGTCATTTTAATAAAAAATTTGATTATTTGGATGTTCTCTAAGAAGATATTTTAGCTATAGTTATTAAAGAAAGAGTATGTTTAGCAAGAGATCCAAGTCATATTTTGTTACTTCCAGGTCTTAAAAAAGAATACCCAAGCAAAGCAAAGCAAAATATGACTGGAAGTACTTACGAGTAGTGGTTACCATGGCCCACTAAAGAGAAGTCAAAATAAAATGCCCTATTCACAGACATTAAATGTCTCTGATTTTGATGGTTTTTTTATTAAAGATAAATTTAATAAAGCTCATTAAATTTAGTTGACAAATCAAGCAACTTGGAACATTGCAAATTATTCAATGGCTGTTTATGTAAGACACTGTTGAATTCCAAGCACCAGTCTCTGGAACAGGTTTGCAAAGGTGGAATTTGGTCCTCAGAACTATTTATATACCTAAATGTGAAAATTATCTAATGCAGAAAAATATATGCATACACGGCTGGGCGCGGTGGCTCAAGCCTGTAATCCCAGTACTTTGGGAGGCCGAGACGGGCGGATCACAAGGTCAGGAGTTCGAGACCATCCTGGCTAACACGGTGAAACCCCGTCTTTACTAAAAAATACAAAAAAAAAAAAAAAAAAACTAGCCGGGCGAGGTGGCGGGCTCCTGTAGTCCCGGCTACTCGGGAGGCTGAGGCAGGAGAATGGCGTAAAACCCGGGAGGCGGAGCTTGCAGTGAGCTGAGATCCGGCCACTGCACTTCAGCCTGGGCGATACAGCGAGACTCCGTCTCAAAAAAAAAAAAAAAAAAAAAATATATATATATATATATGCATACACATATATACACATGTTTATATAAAATATATTGAAAAGTATATAGAGAAACATTTTATGATCTTCTCACAGAAAAGGCCTTTTTAAGCAAGAAAAATGCTTTAGAAGCCATATAACAGATGATAACAATTTAACTATGTACAAATATATAATTTTTTATGATCCCCAAACAAGCAGTTTGAATAAAACATTTGCAACATATAACAGTCAAGAGTAGACATAAAAATATACATAAAGACTGTGTAAAATTATTTACAGATATGAATAATCCTAAAGAAAGTTAAATGATGGTTATAAAAATTAAATCACAGGAGAGAAAATACAAAAATACAATAAACTTATCAAAAATATTTAACATTCTGGGAATGAGGAAGATATAAATAAATTTCCCTATGATTTTTTTTTTTATAATTACATGTTGCCTTTTTTCAATTATAGGGCAATGATGAGTTGTAGACCCATTGTGGGAAACAGGTAGTATAGCCTAGCAGTGTATAAACATTAAAAATCCACATATACTTTGACCCAGCAGTTTTACATATTCTCATTTTTTCTGCAGATAGCTTGCATAAAACTGCACACAAAGATGTATGTACAGGGATTAGGTATCCTGAATCCTGCTCCACACCGTGTTTCCTGACTACCTCTGTATTTTGGAGTGCTTTTGTAGAATTTTTTCAAAGTTCTTGTCTGCTGCCTTGTACTTGTCTGTGTTGGGAGGGCTATGGAGTGAAGAATCCCAGTTTCTGACTGGACCTGAGTAGGTACTGATGTGGTGTCTTTCTTTTAGGTAATCTTCTGACCCTCTAGCCTTCCACACAATGCCTACTGTTAACCAGATGTCTCTGGAAGTTCTGGGATTCATGCTTAAAGGGACCCTAGACCAAGGCCCCTGGTTGGGCAAAAGGTAAGATGGGTAAATCATGCTTGCTGGTTGCCACAGAATTTCTTGTGCAAGATAATGAAAGATAAGGCTGCCAAAATGGTACTGACAATCTGATATTGGGCAATTTTCACCTAAATCTGACAGAGAGAGAATTCAGAGCTTAGAGCTACTTATGGTTCATTGATTTGAGCTGCATGTTTGGAACCATGGAAGGGGGACTTCTAGCACATCTGTATTTCCATAGCATTGTCAACTCCAGCCTACAACACTCGAGAGAACCACATTCCTTCTCCACCTGCTGGTACTTAGGCTCTATGAAGAACTGTCACATGCAGTGACTGGACTGTAAACAAGTATGTAATATACCCTTTCTCCACTCATTCTATTCTACTCCCTACCTTCCTCCATTTGTCAGGGGGTCCTGAGGATGAGTGAACTTGTCTTCTGGTAATTTTCCAGATTCTTGCTCCTCATTTTGAAATGCTAATGGAGCCTTTAGATTAGTCATTGTCTTCTCTTGCCTTTAATGGATGTAGTGATTTTATACTATCCTTCGTTGGATGACAGTCTTTGAATGAGACTACTCTTCTTGCTCAAACTGTAGGCTCCTCTTCTGCCCTTGCATCTTGTAGTAGTGCATAGATGGGAGAATAGTTTAACTAAAATAGATCACATTCTAGGAAGGCGGTGATTAATGCCTGAGAGTTCAATAAGTGATTGGATGTGTTGTTCCACCTTTATGTTGTAAAATTCATAGCCATAAATTTGACATGAGCAGAAACAAATTATTATTCACATTTTCCGTCATATTCTGGATAAGACTTATATTTGTGGTCATCACCAACAACTCACAGTAACAATCGAGAAAATTATTGAAACCTTCCTTCACAGGAAGCACGATGGTGCAGTATCAGTAGTAATGACAAAATCAGCAATACAGAAAATGACTAAAACTGCAGAGGCAAAATATACATTATTTCAAAAAAACCAGGTTCTGAAGAACCATGAGCTTATGAGTAATAAAAGCATTCCTGACTTTTTAAAATAGTGACAAGACCTGAAATTTGTGAGAATCAGGCATTTGGCAATAAAAGACATAAAGAAATGTTTCCAGGCTCTATGAAAAATCTTAACATGCACTGACTGAACAACAAACTAATATGTAATATACCCCTTCCATACTCACTCTAAATCTTCGCTGACACATAATGATTCCTCACATGGACCCCAAAATTTTGTGTTGCATTTTAAATTAAATTATGTGTGTAAACAGGCATTCTGTAAAAAAAAAAAAAAAAATTGTTGTGATGGTGTACACCCAAAAATAAATTCTGCCAGAATGCTATTTCTGCACTTAACATGTTTTTTCTTAAAATTAGATACCAAGATTTACCATACAGGAAACAAGTATTTCTAAAAACAAAAATCAAATTATGCATTATTACCTATAAAATTCTTTCCTCTTCTATTCTACTGCTAACAGGCATATATTTTTGGCTAAATGAATCTCAGATAAATACCAATTCCAAACCTTTTCCAACCCTTTTAATCCATAAACCAAATTCCAAACCAATTCCAACCAAATCCAAAACCAATTCCAACCTTTTTGATCCATAAAAGTCATTTTCTAGTTTCTCATATTCACGACCTCAAAATGAAATATGCTGGTTTTCTAGCTCGCTTTTTCCCCCAATTAATAATCTAAGAAAAGCAATGAAGATTTTTTATTTTTACTGTTTTGAAGCTAGGAGAAACGACTATTTAGTAACGTTCTCTCTAATTTTCCTGACTTCTCTTTCAAAATATTCATCTATACATAATAATGATATATGTATGCATATATCACACACACCCATACACAAACACACAAACACATATATATGTATATATAAATAATTTGCAGATAGCTCTGTTTCTCCTTGGTGGATTCCTTCTTTTTAGTATTCCTTTTTTATTTCTCTGGAAAGATGGAGATACAATGAAGGACTAGCAGAGGAGAATGGCCCAAGGGTGCATTTTCTTTTCCAGACTCTACCACAGCTGTTTTATTGTTTTGTTGCTCTTTGTTTCTCAGTTACCTTAATGTAAAGTAAGCGTTTTGTAACTCAGTGATGTTTTGCTAGGTGTGTTGTAAATTACTGTCTACTTCTGAGAGATAATTTCTAAACTCTTAAGATGTCATGCCTGATAAAGCGTCTCTGTGTGCCTGAGCATCTGGGGTCACACCGGATACTCAAACAATGTGATATAGAGTGGGGACTTCAGGTCATGAAGTATCAATTCAAATTCCTGAACACTGAAGTGGGCTGACTAGGGTGATATCTCATATGTATTGCCACACATTGCTGGGAAAAGTAGCATTGTCCCTGACTGCCCTGGGAAAGGACAACTGGAAGCTCTACTCTTGAAACTTCCCGGAGCTCTGCCTTATGTGTCTCTTCTATTTACCGATTTTAAGTATATTTTTTACTATAA